TGTACCAGATTAGCGAAAATGCTTAAACATCTTATTATCCTCGTTCTAGTAAAAGACTAGAAAATACATGTTGCAAATCACAACTATTCTAGCTCTCCTGAAATCTTTTGATAATTTTTAGTAGGAATTAAGCCTCAATTACCAATGGTCATTGATTTTATGTGAGAAAACTGATTTATGTCAAAAATTCGACATCTGTTAAAATGTCTTAACATATTCTTTGTCGACGGTGTTCTGTGGATTGACTTAAATTGTGATTTGTTGTCTTTCCTTTTTCCTTATATTTTTCTAAGATTCTTTAGACAAACTCATGGTTATATGTATTGTATTCCACATTATATCTGAATCTGCCAAGCGTCTAGAACTCGTTTAAATTTGGCAGCGTAAATGCTGAAGTCACCCAATGCTGACTCATCCTAGTTAGCCCCAATTGATAATACTTTGATACACTGGAATTCGGCGAATATTACTTTTATAATCTCATAAGCATGAAGATAAAAACTTGCCTTAGCCATTTCAAAGATATCTGTAAGAATGCGTTTCATGTGGTGTAAGTCACCAAAAAGCGCCTTGCGGTCAAATTCCCATCGATTGTCTTGTGAGGTAGCTTCTACGCGTTGGCGCTCCTGCAAATAAGTAGCCTCAAAAATGGTCAGCATGCGAATAGCAGAACGGGTCTCGCTCATTATTGCTGGGACAGATCGGCTGTAGATCCATGTAATGCAATGTAATGGAGGCAGGTCGAAGGATTCGCCCGTTCAGAGGTGGCGTAGGATATTGGATGGGATTGAGAAGATTAAATAGAGATAAACATTTGAAATTAAGTAGAGTCAGACTCAGTGATTTGGGAAATGGGAAGCTATCAATGACTATGAACCACTTTTAGGCACTGTAAGCAAAAGAAGAGAAAAGAGGAGTAAAAAAATACAAAATTGCTTAAAGGTCTTATTAACAGATTTAAAAAGGTAATCAACCCTTTAACGGAATGTGGCCAGCCGCTTCTTTCCCTCATGTAAATATGATGATGCTTTTACAAATCCTACTCTTTATATTCCACTGAAAAAAACTGAGGCAAGTGACATTTGTAATAACAAAATGGAGATATATGTTGTATGGCAGCGGAAAATATAGTTTTTGCTAGAGTTTGTGGGGTTCTCTTAGGTCAAGTTGCGAAAAAAACTTGATGAGCGAGTACACTGAGGTGGATCAAGAGTCAGGTTTTGGCGCAAAGCGCATCGGTGGAGGACAGATGAGTAACTTCTGTAAAAGTATGGCACGCAGCGTGGAAAAGGAAATCCAGATGCCATAGTCGTGGCCAAAGATAGCCCTGACTTAAATAAGAGCCCTATTTAAAATGCCTTGAGCCCGTTCCCTGATTTCAGATATATTTATTGAAATTTAGACGTGTGGGTAACCACAAGATGTATTCACCCTATTTAGTATAAGGTGATGAAGGTCTGGTAGTAGAAGTTTCTCACAATGATATGAGTAAAGCTGATGTTGCCATTGAATCTCACATAGTCTTGTGTTCCCAGAAGTTGTTACCATCTCATATAACTGATCTGCTGGAAGTCTCGAAACTCTGCTTATATACGAGAGTAACCACTGGATATTTGGAAAAAAAATCGATTGAAATGAAGTAGCCTAACAAAAGCTTTGAAAGAATTATAGTGAACACAGATTAACAGAGGGCAACTATTGAAACATTAGCTGCAATGTGTTAGGAAATTGTTAAGAGAAATCATAATGTAGGAGAGCAGATAGGTCGAATTCCGCCAAACTGGAATAAGTCTTGCTGGTGAGTAAGAGTTTTGGACTTAGTCATTATAAGTATATTGAGCTTAACAAAAATTTGATTATAGCTCAAAACTCAGCCACGAATATTTTTCTTGTAAAAGGTTCTCTTTCGACAAATTTAATGCC